GAGTACATCTAATTCAATTTGGAAGTTGGTGCTATTGTCGTTACGTATAGACCATTCCAAGGATAAGTCGTTTATGTGCTTCTTATCCATTAACCTGGCCTCTAATGCTTCTTCACCTTGAGTAACATTCTCTAGTTTCTGAATACAAAAGGAACCATGGAGATTTGGAAGTCCTCTCAGTTCTTTGATGCTATTCTCTATATGCTTACCGGCAATATAGAAATCCAAATTCTGCATTTGATTTAGTTTCCTCATTGCTTTAGGCATCTCCTTTATGGAAGTATTAAGAATTTCAAGATGACGCAAGTTTACAAGATTTTGCATGGCACCAGGCAACTTAGTCAGCTCAGAGCAACAATACAACTTCAAAGTCTGTAGATTGTATAGATTACACAATGACTCCGGCAGTGTTGCTATACCTGTATAAGAGAGATTTAAATAACGCAAATGGATCAATTCACCTATTGAATCAGGCAGAGCAAGCACACTTTGGAAGTCACGAAATGATAAAACTCTCAAGTACTTGAGCATCGACCCTATAATACGTGGTGCCTTTTCATTGTTGAATGGAGAATCTTTATAATTGATCGGCAAGAAAGTTCTTGAAAATTTAACTGTTTCAAAAATTTCAATATCCGAGACTGGGTCACTGAATCTTGTAAAAGACAAATGACGAGTCTTTCTGTTAATTTTGGTTCCTTTACTAAGTTCATCTGCTCTGAAATAGAATTCCCCGCCAAGGAAAGTTGCTAGATCGTGCATGAGGTCATGCATCAGAAAACAATTACCTATAGTCCGATGACTTGAACTTTGGAAAAGCGATCTTGAAACCAATTCGTCAAAATACTCCTTGCCAACTTGTTCTAAAGTCTTTCCTTTTTTGGTGCTTTTACAAGATCTTCAGCCATCCACAACAGGATCAGTTCATCCTTTTGAATTTTGTAATCTTTGGGATACAATGAACAATAAACAAAACACCGTTTTAAATGTGGAGGAAGATAATTATAACTAATTCTAAGTGCTGGAATAATTTTACACTGACTTTCAGGAAGTTCCCAAATGTCACTTTCAAGTACATTATTCCAATCCCTAATAGCGTGTTTTCTTCTCAACATTCCTCCAAGTGACTGTGCTGCTAAAGGCAATCCATTACACTTTTTAACAATCTCTTTTCCAATCTTTTCTAGAGTTCCTCTGTTCCCACTGCCTCTTGAGACAGAAAATGCATGGTTTGCAAACACCAACCAACAATCTTCATTTGACAATTTGTTTAGATGATACACTTTAACACTATGAAAAGGGACTGCAGCCGCTACATTTTCATTGCGGGTTGTCATGAGAACTTTGCTTCCCCTAATCCCACTTAGAAATGGCTTCGTAAGACTACTCCAACTATCACAATCCTCCATCCAAACATCATCCAATACAATCAAGAATCTTTTACCCCTCAGTTTGTCCCACAAGTCAAGTTGAATTGAGTTTAGATCATTCAATTTACAAGGCTTTTGAATAATTTCCTCTATCATAGTTTTTGTGACCTTCACAATATCAAATATATCAGAAACACAAACCCATGCCTTTAAATCAAATATCTGCTTCAATTTGCCATCGTTGTACACAGATCGGGCCAAAGTGGTTTTTCCAACCCCACCCATGCCAACTATAGGGATCACAGACACTTCTTCACCATCACTGCTATCTTCTAACACCAACTTCATAATGGTTTCCTTGTCTTCATACCTACCGTATATATGATATCTATCTTCCAGAGATGTTGGCTGAGGTTTCCATGGCTGGTTGTTCTCCACAGGAATATCTTTCAAATCAAGATTCTGCTTTTGTCTCAAAATGTCATCTAATCTTCCCAGTATGTCTTCCAACTTACTAATACTAAAAATTTTCTTTCTGTTGAAAAGATGTGAAAAGGAATTGGTTACCTCCTTTTGAGTAGCAGCTTTCGTAGAAACTTCATCAAGTAAGTCATCAACCTCGTACACAACATCATTGAGAAGATCGAGCCACTCTTTGACATTGGAGTCTGTGATTTGCCTCTTCTCAGCATCATCAAGCACAACTTTAACCACTAGCAGCTGGCTCCTCATCTTTTGAAGCAACTTGTCAGGCTTCTTCCAACGGATGAAGTTTACAAGCTCAGGGGAAGCTAATTTGTCAAATACAACCTCAATGAAAGCAGAAAGGAGTGCACCACCTACAACAGATAATGCCATGATCTCAACAGCAAGCAAGTGATTATTTATCGCAAAGGAAAGGAATCGGTTGCAGAAAACTGTTTGTTGAGAGATGTGATCGGAAAGGAAAGCAATTTCAGTCAACTCTCTTCACTTAAGTTGTACAGTTCTGAAATACCTACTCTCAAAATTAACCGTTAGATGTTACAAATGGTAGACATTCAAGATGCCTACCTGAAATGTTTGGTGGTGGTGGGTGTCATTTTCAAAACTGAAGGTTCATGTTTCCATGCTTTTTGAACGCGGAACGTCAGGAAATATATGTACCATGTAAATTCACCATGCATATATTAATTAAAATTTCAACGGTTGAGATTGAAGACCGTGAAATGGAATACCAGTTTTGTATTTTTTAGGTTTGTTCTCATCTAATATTTCAAAGAACTAAAGGGTATAAGTTGATTTTAGTTAATTAAAGACATTTAGTATATTTTCTTTTTCATTTTTTCAGTGTCTATGAAAAGAATTATATAACATAGTGAAATTGTTTGTCGTACAGCCTCGTCCAACTATTGGTAATGACACAATACATGTAGCCGTGATTGAATTAATATGTGAAAAATATAGCAAATTAAGAATGACGCGGGAAGACGGAACTTTGGAAGATGGAGAACTTGTATCCTTAATGTTCATCTGCAAGCATCTTATGATCCCCTTGAGTAGGTTTGCAACACTTTTATGCCGCGTGTACAGTGCTCATTCTGTTTGGGTGCATAACTCTTGTAGACATAATAAATCAGTTAAATTCTAATATAGAACAATTTATTTAACTACACTACTTGTACTGGTTTTATGTTCTTTGGAATCGCTTTTCAGTTTTGTCAAATTGTTTTTGCGTGACCTAATAGAATATGATCTAATAAGATTTTTTAATTCTTTTTACTATAAAATAATCCAAACTTACACTTATTTTTTATCATATTCACATATTATAATTAACAGCGTTGGTTATTATTTATCTTATTTATTTACTATATTGTTATTATATGTTTTATGAAAGTATTATTTCAATAAAAACATACTTTATATGATTTTATAGTTGAGTTGTTTGGAGAAATTATCGAATTTATTAATCTCTCGTGTTGATGAGGTCGGGTGAGTATTCATTTAATTTAAAGGAATTGATATGCAATCTTCAATTTTTTTAAGCTCGAGAATATTCTCACTTTTTCACGCAAGAAAATGTGTTCTAAGTTACCATGTTTCCATTCCTCACATAAATAATTGATTAAAATAGGTGGTAATCGAATATTTTAAGCTTAGAGACCCAAAACAAGAATTCCTCACTGGAATAATCGATTAATTTCAATTTTAATCTATTAATCTTAATCGATTAACATAAATTTTAATCAATTAACACACAAAACCTTGAAATAAACTTTTCGCGACTTCTCCAATTTGTTTGAGCCCATTCCCAAGATAAAAGACATGCATATAAGTAGTCAAATTGAAGCTCTTTGAGTCTACTTTCTATCAGAAAAAGAATCAACTCAGTTGAAATTTTGTACAAGGAGTTATGAGCAAAAAATAAGTAAAGGTCAAACAACTTTCTATTTTACACTAGTAATTAGGTTTGAGAAACTTTATAGGCCTTGAGCTTGCTTAGGTCTTATAGTGACCGTTCTTGCCACACTTAAAACATTCTACTCCTAACTGATCTCCTCGACCTTTTCATTACCCTCGCCATGCTAATTCTACTGGCCAATTTTCTCTTCACTATCATCCTCAACATTACCTCGACCACGTCCACCTTGTCCACAGCCTCCTCATTCTTTGCCTCAAGGACCTCGGCTTCGAGTATTCCGAGTTCCATTTGAGTCAAACTTTGCTTGTAGTGTTTGATCGTCGGGTTCCCTCTTTTTCTTCTTCTTCCTCAGTTCATGGGCCTTTAATGACCCAGCTAACTCCTCCACAATGAGAGTTGAAAAATTTTTTGTCTCTTCAATAGTGACCTCAATACTTTCAAAATCATCCGTCAGATTTCTCAAGATCTTTTTCGCAAGCCGGTTAGGAGGCATCTCTTCTCCATTCATTCTGAGTTGATTGGCCATCTTTTGCACTCGACCTATAAACTCGACAACTCCCCCCTTTTCATCCATCTTGATATGTTCAAACTTTCTTATAAGAGCTTGTACCTGGACCTGTCTCATGCGGATATCTCCTTTTCCCAGACTTATTTTGCTTACTTTGCATTAACTATTTTCTCAAACCCCAATTCATCCACTGCATTATATAGAAAGTACAAAGTTGATCTGTCTTTTACCCGTGTCTTTTTTAATGTAGCAATTTGGGTCACTGTCATATGTTCATCATCAGCAGATTCATTGTACCTATCCTTCACTATATCCCATACATCTTGGGATCCAAGAAAAACCTTCATCTGCAAAGACCAATTGTCATAATTGATCTTTTCCAACAATTGTGGCACACTCATTTCATTGACTACCTTTGTCATCTCTCTCACAAAACACTCAAACACTCATTTTTCCCCCACGTTGTTTGACTCTCTCCTCTCTTTTTCTTTCTTGGTACTTAAAGCATAAAGCTCTGATACCACTTTGTAGAAAAATAAATGTGACACACAAATAATTGGACTCTTAAATTCACTGTACTTATTCTTATTGAACCTTGACATCCTTTAAATAAGTGCAAAAAACCTAAAAACAAAATATTAACTGACTCCAAATAAAATCTACTTAATCTATCTCTATATCTTATATCAACAAAAGAAAATAATACTACACCTGAATAAATGGAAAATCAAAACTCTCTATCCTTATTTTATCTCTACCAAAATCAAACCAAATATTACTAAATCGAAACTAATAAAATAAAATTTAAATGAAATTGTTAATAAATCCCTAAAATATAAGTTTATTCCAACAATATCTACTATTATCACTTCCACCACTATCATCACTATAGCAGATAAATGAGAAGAGAGGGAGAACGTGCACAATAAGAATAAAAGAGAAAATGTAGAAAGAAAAAACTCGTTATGATAGTTTACTAAAAGTATTTCTTGTATTCCAGAAAGCATTTTTCGGGACACATTTTATGAATGAGTATTCAGGAAAACTCATTTCAGAAGGTTTTTCATGAGTTCCAAAAAGGTTTTTAGAAAATTTAAGTTATTATTGGGTCAATAGTCCAACAGACGATAAAATAATTAAAGATATCTGATTAAAGATATTGATAAGTTGTTTATCAATAACCAACCGAATCAAAAGGTAAGTTTGTTTTTATTTTATTGGATCTGTGTTGGTTTAGGATCCATGAGACACTTATAAATATAAGGTCAAGGCCGAAAGCTAGGTACGTTCCACTTACATTCTACTTGCGTTCCATTCATACTCTACGAGAATCAAATATTCAACTGTGATAAACAGTTCATTAAACTGCATCTAACTTGAGCGTCGGAGCACCTTTTGCAAGTACCTCCCCCTCCGGTCAAGAGTACAACCGAGCAGAGCAAGGACAACTGAGCAGTCAGAACGGTCCAAGCATTCGGAGGCAAGGAGAATACGTCAGAAAGGAGATCCAGGTGTTCAGAATCAGGAAGAACATGTCGAAAAGCTTAGTCTCTCAATCCTGCACAAATTCCTATTGAAACATTTTGGCGCCTACCGTGGGGCCGAGAGCAAGCTGAAGAAACCCAATGGTAGCCACAACAAGCATGGAGGAACAATAGAACACTAGAGATTTGATAGCATAGATGCAGGCACAGGCACGAACCATACAAGCGCAAGCCCAAGCACAGCAAGAGATGCAGCGGAAGCATGCAAAGGAGATTGCGTCACTAAGGGCGGAACGAGGTCGCACTGACCGGTCTACTCAACACTTAGTGTTGATGACCGAACAGGATAACAACCGCGAGAATGAAAACGATGGAAGTCGTAATTGACAGCCATCCTAACACACAAACCCGAACGGTCGAGGAAGAAGGGAACCAACACCCTTGCAAATCGTTTAGCCTACCAGTTTACTCCCTTTTACGACGATTATCATCCAAACTCCAATGCTCGAAAAGAATTCTCCTGCATTAGAGAAGTATGATGGATCGACAGAC